CCTCACCAAAGAAAATGTACTATTATTATTTTAAGTTTGCTATAGGGCGCATGTGCTTATCAGAGAGAGACAGAGACAGAGAGGAAAAGTGAGAAAGTAAGCCACCTGGTCTGGGACTCGACATGGTTGGCCGTGTGCGAATCCAGCACCTTAACCACCATGCCACTTCAGAAGCTGTCTTGATACCTTAGCATCTTGGTGGTTTCCACATTTACAAAACAAGAGAGCTGAACTTTAATCTCTCGGTTTCTTCCAGCCTTTACTGCCTATGATATAAGTAGAACAAAAAACAAACAAAATGAAGTTATTACAAATGCCAAGAAACATTTTAAGGAGGACACATTTCAAATACAAACATAGGTTAATCATTTAGAAATATTTGGTATGCACTCATGAAAATAAAAATAGTGTAGCTGCTTCCAACAAATGTATTAGAAATATGTCTGGAAAACATTTCAGAAACTTAACATGATCAAAGAAAAGATTTTTTGAGCCCATAATATTTCATTACATTTAGATCTCCTTCGAAATCATGTCAATGTCAAAAACCACCTTTGCTCTGTAGAAACCAATGAGTCCAATTTGGGGCATATCAGAGATACTTCAAGAAATTCTTTCTTAATCGTCCTGGATCTCACCTTCTGAGCTGTGAAGATTCTTGTTAAAAGTACAGATTCGGTACCAACAGATGGTGGAATTTGTTACATTGTTGGACTCCCACATAATTGAACACAGTTTGAGTCTTAGACCCAGTGGCTTAAAACTCACACCAGGTGTGTGTGCGTATGTGCCCAAAATCCCGAGAGGAGATTGCAGCGTGGCCATTTCCCCCAGGGATGTGATTTCTCACTTTCTGTCTCTCTCTCTCTGTCTCTGGCAAATGCATGCACCCTATAGCAAAAACCTCTCTTAAAAAAGTACAGATTCTTGGGGCTGAAGAGTGGTGCAGCAGTAAAACCCAATGCTCTGAAAGGCTGTCCCATGTAGGAAGGTGTTCAGAGACCTCCCTGAATACAAGGGATCTAAGACTGCCTGAGCCTGGGATGGACTGTGACATCAGAACTCCGCTGCGAGTACCTGTGTCTGTCTCTCCCTCTCTTACTCTCTTCTCTCACTCATGAAACAAATAAATAAACTTTTTCTTGAAAGTACAGATTCTTGTTAAAAGTAGAGAAATTCTGGAGGTGGGACCTCGGAATCTGAATTTCAAACCAGCTACCCAAATGTTTCTTATGTACGCTAAAGTTTGAAAAACCACATATTTAGATTGAGTGTGTTTGTATGTGTTGTTTTAAATGAGGAACTAGTCTCTTAACTTTCTCCTTTTCAGTCCTGGGCTAAGGTCTTCTGTCCTTTATAAGCCTTTTGCTTACATTTTTTGTCCTCATGTCACATCTTTTTTTTTACTCTTGTGCTTAGGAGGGATAAAAAAAAAGGAGAGAGAGAGACATTTGATATGTAGTTAAGATGATCAAACACTGTAAAATTTTACCTGTCACTATACCTGAGGAGAAGTTCCCTTATTGAGATGTATGAGAGCTTTTCATCTCTTGTGCTTCCGGGTCCTTCTGCTGCTCTATTAACTCTCTTCATTGCCCTCTGTCTCTGACTTCTAACAGCCTCCCTGGCTCATGCTATCAAGTTTCTCTTAGATCCTTTGGAATTGAATTCCCTAGGTCTCAGAGCATTTTTTTTTTTTCCTGTTAGGGTTCACAAAGGAGTTCCTTTACTCAGTACTAATTACTTAGCACCATTTAACCTAGAACCAGGATTGTAGCAGCTTTAGATCTGTCATAGTCAGCCAGACCTCTAGACCTCGCCAACACAGGGGTAGTTTATTCCTCTATTGGATAGGAAAACAAGCATTGAGCATCTTCATATTTTTCCTTCCATTTTTTCTCTTCTCCCTATACTTCATTGGGACTTAGAAGCTCTCAATAAATATTTACTTAATCAGTATCTCTTCTACCATTGATTGCTTTTCCATGTCTGGACTGTGCCTCTCTGCCTACCCTACAAAATGTCCTGCCTGAGAACGTCTTTCTAGAGGAAACCAAGCCACAAATTCCAAACCCCGAAGGGAATCCCTCTAACCTACACTTATTACCTGCCATTAAATAGCTAAAGTCTTGCATAGAAAATTCTCAATTAGACTTATCATGCAAAAGTGATAACTGGAAAAGGAGAAAACAGAAATATAAAAGAACTAATCTTAACACCATATACAATCTGCATTCACTTTGATAATTAATAATGTGTACAGTATTTTATAAATCATTTATTAAATAATAATACCATGAGAAATGTGAAAATTTTAATTTCTCTTTTATTTGATGGGAAAGCCTTCATTTATTCTGAATGTAAAATTTACATTGTGATTACAGAAAGAAAATTCTGACATTTTGGAAAAGTATAAACATGAAGGGGCAAATCTACCCAAGGGAGTAGCTGGTTGTCACTCCAGAATTTTTCATACATAATCAAGCACATGCACATAAATACGCACATATGCAAGCATTTTAGAAAAGTAGAAAAATGGATAGTATTCATTTTTGTAACCTGCTTTCTCCCTTAGCACCTGACAAACCTTGTGATCTTTTTCATAGCCATAAATATTTACCTACATCATAGTGAACATTGCATAGGATTTCATTGTGTGAATTCACCATTATATCCACAATTAATTCCCTAATAGTGAATGTTTAATTTCTCTCTGCCTACCCTACAAAATGTCCTGCCTGAGAACGTCTTTTGCCCTCGAGGGAACCAAGCCACAAATTCCAAACCCCGAAGGGAATCCCTCTAACCTACACTTATTACCTGCCATTAAATAGCTAAAGTCTTGCATAGAAAATTCTCAATTAGACTTATCATGCAAAAGTGATAACTGGAAAAGGAGAAAACAGAAATATAAAAGAACTAATCTTAACACCATATACAATCTGCATTCACTTTGATAATTAATAATGTGTACAGTATTTTATAAATCATTTATTAAATAATAATACCATGAGAAATGTGAAAATTTTAATTTCTCTTTTATTTGATGGGAAAGCCTTCATTTATTCTGAATGTAAAATTTACATTGTGATTACAGAAAGAAAATTCTGACATTTTGGAAAAGTATAAACATGAAGGGGCAAATCTACCCAAGGGAGTAGCTGGTTGTCACTCCAGAATTTTTCATACATAATCAAGCACATGCACATAAATACACACATATGCAAGCATTTTAGAAAAGTAGAAAAATGGATAGTATTCATTTTTGTAACCTGCTTTCTCCCTTAGCACCTGACAAACCTTGTGATCTTTTTCATAGCCATAAATATTTACCTACATCATAGTGAACATTGCATAGGATTTCATTGTGTGAATTCACCATTATATCCACAATTAATTCCCTAATAGTGAATGTTTAATTTGTTCAATTATAAATGATGCTACAAATAGCATTTTTATATCTTCATTTTTGTAGTACATATTTCTTAAATTTATGCTTGTGGGCCATTGTGTTTGCACATTATAAAGAGTTTTTTGCATTATCAAATTATCCTTCACAGGACCAGCAGTTAGCATAATGGCTATGTCACCGGACTCCCATGTGGTTGACCATGGTTCGAGTCCCGGACCCGGTGGCTTAAAACTCACGCCGGGTGCATGTGCGTGTATGCGCAAGATCCCGAGAGGAGAATGGAGGAGAAGGGATTGTGGCATGGCCATCCCCCTGGGGAGTGATTTCTCGCTTTCTGTCTCTCTGTCTCTGTCTTTCCAGCAAGCGCATGTGCCCTGTAGCAAAAAAACAAACAAACAAACAAAAAAACTCTCAAAAAAAAAATCATCCTTCACAAAGTTTGCAACAATTTCATTTCAGTAGACGCATGCTCTTTGGTGACTTTGTTTGACTAAGGCTGGAAGGAGAATCGTGTTTGAAATGTCAGGTTAAGTTAACAAATAACCAAGGGAAATGTAACTCTATATGGTTGCCTGGCTTTATATTTCAATCTTTGCAGCATTAGAGATTTAATTATATTTATGTTATAGGCAGCATTAATTTTTATGAATTAATTAGTAATTGCTGATAATATGTGAGTGATGCAGCTTAATTCTTGATTTACCTGAGGATAAAGCTTTGCTGACATTCCGCCTTTCCTGTTTTCTGGATGATGATTTATTTTATTATTTTAGCTTCTCGTCCTCAAGTGAAATGTGGATTTTAGAGCATAGATCATTCATTTGTATATTTTTAAATGGCTTCTAAGGATTAACATGTTCTAAATACAGTTGATGGTAAACCACTCAGTCTCCTGGCTAAATTATTCATGTCTGAGAGAAGCTTTCAGACAAATGTCTGATTTTACTCTTCCACGTGAGTTGTTGGCTCAGTACATTTTACACAAAGGAAACAAAGCGGAAAATGTTGGAACTTGGTGAAAACAAATCCCAGGTGCACACGCATAAAGAAGGATAGAGGAAAGGAGAAGCATATGGGAAGAGGAGCAGAAAGAAACAGACACCAGACGGAAGGAGTCAATGGGAAAGGCTGCCTAGGGTGTAGAAATGGAAAAGTCAAAATGTGGGGAGAGACCTTTCCATTTCTCAAAGCAGAAAGAATGCCAGTACTAGCATGAGTCACCTGAAGACTGAGTGGTTATTAGTCACCGGCTCCAATTTTTTTCTACCAGAAACATTAAGAAGCAGCAACTGTAACAGTATGGGAAAACAATCTATTCTGGTATATATGTCATGCTAAAAATCTCACAATTCTGCATGTGGAAATAAGCTTATGGCTAAACACTGCCTTTACTCAAATTGCCACCCAAATACCACCTCCCCCCCCCCATATTATGGCTCTCAAAATCAGGTAGCTAGATTTGTATTGTCATTAACAGTGGGTTTATATATTAAGCTACTAATCAACCAATGTACCTCTAATAGAATTGTTAGAATCAGCAATTATACTTCCGGATAATCTGGATATATTTTTTTTTTTTTTTTTTCAGGTCCCATTTGGAAGCCAGTTCTGACCAGTGGAAGCGTCTCCACCTTTCTCTTCAGGAACTTCTGGTGTGGCTACAGCTGAAAGATGATGAATTAAGCCGACAGGCACCAATTGGAGGCGATTTTCCAGCAGTTCAGAAGCAGAATGATGTACACAGGGTAGGACATTTTTAACTCTAGTACCTGGTACATAATAAGCATTCAGTGACTATTTTTAAATTAATTTTGTTTGATGTTGAATTGAATAGAAATCTTTTTACTCTTTTAATCCAAGGATCAATTATATATAATCTAAGCCATTATATTTTAAATGTCAAAAGCCCCTGCATTAATAATACCCTTTAAGAAATTTCCCATCTTAGGCCCAGCAGGTGGCATGGTAAAAATAAAATAAATAAATAAAAGCCTACTATTCTTAAATAATTATTTTATTCGTTATTATTATTATTATTTTAATGTGACGAGAGAGAGAGAGGGAAAGTGAGATAACAAGCTGACAGGTCCAGGACTTGAATTGCGGTCAACCATGTGGTAGTCCAGCACCTTGACCACCATGCCACCTGCTGAGCGCAATAAGAGACTACTATTAACAAAGAAATAAATTTCACATCTTATATGACTATTTTTTTTTAACTTTTTACCGGGGAAAGTATTAAACATACACAGAAGTAGACAGGATGCTATAATAAGCACCCTGTACCCATCAAGATACCAATCACCCATTTGTGATCAAAATCTTATTTCTCCTATAACTCAACTCCTTCACCCATTATTTTGAAGCAAACCTCGTGCCTATATATCTTCACTCATACATATTTCAGAAAGTATCTCTGAAAAATCCACATTCATTCTTTAAAGGTAACCACAGTGCTACTATAATACTTTAAAAATATCAATATTTTCATCATATCGCATATCCAGTCATTATTAAAATTTCTGTTTCCCTCATAGAGGTCAAGGTATTTTAATTTTTTTTTCACTTTAAGGAAGAATTGAAATAAGGTCCACACACTGCATTTGGTTAATTCCTCTCTTAAATCACTTCTTTTTAAAAAATCTTTTATCTTGAAATAATTATAGATTCACAGTAAGTTACAAAAAGTAGTACAGAGTTTTCCTGTGCATTTCACCCAGTTTCCTCTAATGGTTACTTATTACATAACTATAGTACAATGTTGTCATTATTTGGACAGGCAATTGATAGAAAAATGTGCATCTACAGTGCATCTCAGTTCAGCATAGCTGCATTCCTAGTGTTCAATAGCCAGATATGGCTAACGGCTTTCCATTTAAACGGTGTAGGACCACAGATCTAATCATGTTGAAGTCTGACGTGTTTTGGGCACACTGCTTCATAGGTGTTATCATACTCTTTCAACATCAGAGGTATAGAATGCCTTATTTTCTCTTCTTTTCCTGTGTGATTTTTGGCAACTGATTAATGATTAATGTTTATTGACTGTAATGTGATAATGGCCCATTTCTATCATTTCTTCTTTCTTCTTTATTTCTTAGCTGGAATATTTATATGAAAAAATTATTTTTCTTTCTTTCTTTTTTTTTTTTTTTTGGAGAGGTTTTTGCTATAGCGTGCGTGCACTCGCCAGACAGACAGAGAGACAGAGAGACAGAAAGCGAGAAATCACCCCCCAGGGGGGATGGCCACACCGCAATCCCCTCTCCTCCTTTCTCCTCTCGGGATCTTGGGCACACACGCACACGCGCCCAGCGTGAGTTTTAAGCCACCAGGTCCAGGACAAGAACCGCGGTCGACTACATGAGAGTCCAGTGACATAGCCATTACGCTAACTGCTGGTCCCCGAAAAAATTATTTTTCACTCATTTACAATGTGGTTATCCAGTATACTGTTCATATAGGATAAGCAAGATAAATATTTCTACTTCATCAATTTTTAAATTAGCAAGTTATTTACTAGCATCCTCCAACAGGGACCAGATTGGTCACTGTTTTAAATTATACTTTGTTGTTTTTAATTACATTTCTATCTTCTCTGCTAGGCTCTGAGTGGAGAAGACAGTGATTTACTTTTAAAGACCCTAGAGCTTGCACAGTTGTTAGTGTACAATGGATACTGATAAGTGTTTTTAAAATGAGGATAAGATAGGGAACCAGCAGTTAGCGTAATGGCTATGTCGCTGGACTCCCACGTAGTCGACCACGGTTCGTGTCCCGGACCCGGTGGCTTAAAAAACTCACACCGGGCGCGTGTGCGTGCGTGCCCAAGATCCCGAGAGAATGGAGGAGAAGCGATTGTGGCGTGACCATCCCCCCTGGGGGGTGATTTCTCACTTTCTGTCTCTATGTCTCTCTCTGTCTGTCTGGCGAGCGCACGCGCCCTACAGTGAAAATCTCTCAAAAAAAAAAAATGAGGATAAGATATCCAAGAACAAAAATGAATAGCAAACCAAAAACTTGCTACCAAGTAACAAAATGGCACTGCTTTTATATATTCGGCACTTACCAGAAGGTCTCTATGTAGACACAGCCAAAGGTGACACCTTGAAGAAAGATCAAGGGTTTATATTGTTCTAGAGAAGAGGATATATAGGAGATTACAAAAAAGGGAAGAGAGCATGAGAGTAGACCCAGTTACTTTGCAAAAGTAACTTTAAAAAAGTTAAATGCTGGGAACCAGCAGTTAGTGTAATGGCTATGTCGCTGGACTCCCACGTAGTCGACCGCGGTTCGCGTCCCGGACCCGGTGGCTTAAAACTCACGCCGGGCGCATGTGCGTGCGTGCCCAAGATCCCAAGAGGAGAATGGAGGAGAAGGGATTGTGGTGTGACCATTCCCCCTGGGGGGTGATTTCTCGCTTTCTGTCTCTCTGTCTCTCTCTGTCTGTCTGGTGAGTGCACGTGCCCTGTAGAGATCAAAAAAAAAAAGAAAAGTTAAATACTGGAACCAGCCAGTTAGCATAATGGCTATGTCGCTGAACTCCTGTGTAGCTGATCGCAGTTCAAGTCCCAGACCCGGTGGCTTAAACACATGCTGGGCACGTGTACATGTGTGCCCAAGATCTCGAGACAAGAGGAGAATGGAAGAGAAGGGATTGTGGCGTGGCCATCCCCCCTGGGGGGTGATTTCTCGCTTTCCATCTCTCTGTCTCTCTCTGTCTTTCTGCCGAGCAAAAACCTCTCAAAAAAATAAATAAATGCCAAAGAAACTGCTAATTTCTCCTTTAGCCATTTCTCTTCCTAATAATATAAAATATTAAATTAGTTTTTTTCTGGTAGGGTGAAATTTAATAGTATTATTTTTTGTAAATGTTCTAACTTGGAGTAAACAGTCAAAACACTCTGGTATATTTGTAGAATATTTATTGAGATGGTTCAGCATTTTAAAATAGCATGCATTATATGATTTAATTAAATGAGGCAGAGGCCTGGCCTCATGGTCTTGTGGTTTTGGGAACAGATCCCACATGGCCAACCTTGCAATTCAACTCTAAACCCCAGCACCTTAAAAAACATGCTGGGTATGTATGCATGCCCCAAATCCTGATAGGATGGAGAAATGGAAGAAAAGGGATTGCTGTATAACCATACCTCATTCGAGGGAGGATGCTTTCTCCCTCTCCCTTTCTCTATCTCTCTGTGTCTCTCCAGTGAGTGTGCACACCTTCTGGCATATTAAAAAATTAAACAAAAAAATTTCTCAAAGAAACGAGGCACAATTTTTACGAAAGATGTCATTTTATTTTAGTTCCAGAAACCAAAGGAGATGAATTGCTGTTTAAGTACACTAAGAGTCAAGAGACTGAAATTCCAGTCATATTTCTTCATAAGTTAGATTGCGGTTCCTACTTTGTTCTTCAAGTATAAGATGAACAAATTGGTTCAAATAATTGCCACAGTCTCTTCTAGCCAGCATTTTGTTATAAACTGCTTCACTATCCCTAGTTATTGACTCATAGTGGTAAAACATTTGTCCTTATCATTCTCAATCCTTATCAGGAATCTCCTAACAAGTAACATAATTGAGGGAGATAGTTATTCTAGAGTTATGGATAACACGTACTGGAGTGAAGTTAATTAATCCCCACTTGGATAGTGTGCTTGTTCAGATACCTACCAATTACCATTCTTTGACTTAACAGGACTTTCAGCCCACTGAAAACTCTGTGTTTTATACATTCATTCTATTTCTCCAGCTTTACCTTCTTTCAAGTACAACTCTGATTCAATCATCAAACTTTTAAATAACTCTTTTCAAAACTCTAAAATCCTTTGCTTTCTAAAATCGGTTTTGTTATGGCAATCTACCAAGCACCAAAACTTAGAGAACGTAACTTCATACTTTCTCCTAACCAGACAACAATGTAGTGGACTGATAACAGTACCTTTTCATAATGACCACCCTCTAGCCTTCCATTGCCAACACATTGCTGGGTCAATTGCCTCTAGAATAGTTCTTAACTCTAACTTCCATCATCACATAATTACAAGAGACCAGTTCTTCTAACCATTCTATATCTACTCTTGCTACCCCACAATGCAATCTCTATAGATTAGACTAGTTTATGTAGAAATGCAGACTGAAGTTATGTTGGTCCTCATCTTAATAGTCTTTAGTGACTTTTCAGTGCCCTTGGAGAAAGACTAAAACCCTTAGCAAGGCCCACAAGGGCATATCCAGCTGATCTGAACTCGGCCTTCTCTTTTCTTACTGTTCTTCCTCTTGCTCTTTAGACATCAGCCACACTGACTTCTGTTGCTTTTCCTGATAGTTCTCTATGTTTCCCTCATGCAGAGCTGTAATGATGCTGGTCCCTTGTTTGAAATGCTTCTACCCACAACTGCTTACTCATAATGTCTTAGTGAATATTTTTTTGGACTTGCTGATTTATGTTAATATTTACCTAATAAAGTAATCTTAATCACTAAGTTCTTCTTCATCACTGAAATATGTACTTTTCTTTATCCTGGGGCACATTGAATCATCTGATATTGACAGGCCACCTGAACTGGGTTTCCATTTGTTTTGTTTGTCTTCAATTTTGGCTTGCTAGAGTGCTATGGTCTGACTGAGGCTGTCAAGAACAGGATCTTCCCCATCATCTTCACTTTCTTGTATCCCTTCAATTTCTAATTCTGGCTCAGGAATTTTCTTTTCTTTTTTTTCTTTCTTCTTTGGAGGT